ATGACTTTAAAACTATATATCCAAAGTTCATCTTTGAGTCTTTATAATCTTCTCCTATATATTAAATCTGAACTGCAAGTAAGTTTTTAGGAAAAGAAAGCTTTTGTGGTTTGATAATTAATAAACTGAGCTCAGCACTGAGAGACTTAAACTGACGGCAGGCTCAGCTCAGTTCCAGCCTTTCCCATCCTCCTCCCTCCCATCCCCAGGGAAGAAGCTTTGTTTTCCTTTCTTGGCTGCCCACTCTGCTTGTCTTGATCTTACTCTTCACAATCTGGTCAAATGTCTCCTATAAACGCTTACCCTCAACGCTGAATCCCCTGAAAACAGCCCCTCTCCCTTTTTTAGCCAAATATCTTGAGATACTCTGTTCACTCTTCCCTTCATTTATTATAATATCATAATTATGTATTGAATCCAACTATATTCCAGACCTGATGCTAGACACTGGGATCGGTGGTAGACCAGACACCATCCCTGCCCTCATGGAGTTCGGGTTCCTGGCCAAGCCTCAGCCCTGGCCATGCCATTGAGACAGCTCTTTGGGGCCACTGTAGTCCCCAAATCCTGTGGCTCTTCTCATTCTTCCCCTCAGCAGCATCAGACACCAGTAATGATAGTTAATAACATCCTAAAGCATAATAGTTCACACTTAGAAATCATCCTCTATATTCAAGACCCTGTGATGAGCACAGAAACGATCAAACATAGACTCTGCCTTTGAAAATCTTGCACGTAGAGCTTCACACAGCCCAAATGGACAGGACTTACCCTACATCTAGCTTCATAGGAAAAAATCCTTTCCTATAAAGAGGAAAAAAAAAAACACTTATTCCTAAAACTTGCTCAATATGTCTGCCATGGTTCTCAATATACAAATTCAGATTAAGTAGTCAGCAGGTGTAACACTCTTTGATATCACACTACTGCAGGTGCTCACACCCAACCAGTCAGCAAGAGTGTAACATCCTCTGATATCATCACACTACTGCAGGTGCTCACATCTTGCACCCCAACCACTCAGCAAGAGCATAACATCCTGTGATATCACTACTGCAGGTGCTCACACCCAACCAGTCAGCAAGAGTGTAACATCCTCTGATATCATCACACTACTGCAGGTGCTCACATCTTGCACCCCAACCACTCAGCAAGAGCATAACATCCTGTGATATCACTACTGCAGGTGCTCACACCCAACCAGTCAGCAAGAGTGTAACATCCTCTGATATCATGACACTACTACAGGTGCTCACATCTCGCACCCCAACCACTCAGCAAGAGCATAACATCCTGTGATATCAATACTGCAGGTGCTCACACCCCAACCAGTCAGCAAGAGCGTAACATCCTCTGACATCATCACACTACTGCAGGTGCTCACACCCAACCAGTCAGCAAGAGTGTAACATCCTCTGACATCACACCTGCAGGTGCTCACACCCCAACCAGTCAGCAAGAGTGTAACATCCTCTGATATCATCACACTACTGCAGGTGCTCACATCTCACACCCCAACCACTCAGCAAGAGCGTAACATCCTGTGATACCACTACTGCAGGTGCTCACACCCCAACCAGTCAGCAAGAGCGTAACATCCTCTGACATCATCACACTACTGCAGGTGCTCACACCCAACCAGTCAGCAAGAGTGTAACATCCTCTGACATCACACCTGCAGGTGCTCACACCCCAACCAGTCAGCAAGAGTGTAACATCCTCTGATATCATCACACTACTGCAGGTGCTCACACCCAACTAGTCAGCAAGACTGTAACATCCTGTGATACCACTACTGCAGGTGCTCACACCCCAACCAGTCAGCAAGAGCGTAACATCCTCTGACATCATCACACTACTGCAGGTGCTCACACCCAACCAGTCAGCAAGAGTGTAACATCCTCTGACATCACACCTGCAGGTGCTCACACCCCAACCAGTCAGCAAGAGTGTAACACCCTCTGATATCATCACACTACTGCAGGTGCTCACATTTCACACTCCAACCACTCAGCAAGAGCGTAACATCCTGTGATATCACTACTGCAGGTGCTCACACCCCAACCAGTCAGCAAGAGTGTAACATCCTCTGACATCATCACACTACTGCAGGTGCTCACACCCAACCAGTCAGCAAGAGTGTAACATTCTCTGACATCACACCTGCAGGTGCTCACACCCCAACCAGTCAGCAAGAGTGTAACATCCTCTGATATCATCACACTACTGCAGGTGCTCACACCCAACCAGTCAGCAAGAGCGTAACATCCTCTGACATCACACCTGCAGGTGCTCACACCCCAACCAGTCAGCAAGAGCGTAACATCCTCTGATATTATCATACTACTGCAGGTGCTCATACCCCAACCAGTCAGCAAGAGTGTAACATCCTCTGATATCATCACACTACTGCAGGTGCTCACACCCAACCAGTCAGCAAGAGCGTAACATCCTCTGATATCATCACACTACTGCAGGTGTTCACACCCAAACGAGTCAGCAAGAGCGTGACATCCTCTGACATCACACTACTGCAGGTGCTCACACCCCAGCTTTCTCAGGGCACACTAGCCTCCCAAGGGTTCTCCAGAATGAAAACTATTTGGCTTGTTCTTAAAGACATTGTGGGCCATAGAAGTAACAAATAGAAATTATGATTTGTTGAAAAATATTTTTTTCCTAAGATTTTGGGTAAAGGAGTTCACCTTTTGCTGGCTTATTAGCCACTACCTGCTGACGGACCTCCTCAACCTCCTGTCAAAGGCCCCCTCTTTCTGAGGCTGCCTGTAGTGCATTCCCTCCATGTGATCTACTGTTCCTCAATTCCCTGACAAGCAAGCTCGATGCTTCTGGGCACTCTGAATCCTTGGAGAGCCAGAGCTGTGTCTTTGGCAAGAGTGGAGAAGAGCTCCTTGTATTTCATACTATGGGGTAGGGCCAGGGAGTCAGGCAGAACTGCTTAGGCCCCAAAATCTTATCAAAGTGTTAGTGAAACAAGGTCCTTTAGTTTGTGTGCTCTCCCTCTAACCTCAATATGAGTCTAGAATGGGGACCAAACTAACCTCAGCTTCTGCTCCTCCAGAAGGCTGTTTGTGGCTTAAACTACTGGTTTATTACTCTCATTACATCACACCCATTTCTCTGGCACACTCAGGTATGTCTGGACCCCAGAAATGGCAGATTCCCGGCTCAAGCTGAGGCAGAGTTCCCCATTCCACAAACGTGATACACGTTCAGCCAACCCTGGGCAAATGGGCCCCATGCAGAATCCCCGAGAACCCAGAGGCAGCAAGTTCACTGATGAGTCACAGGTGACTGACACCCAAGAGATAAGGGAAGAGCCTCATTGTGAAAGAGCTCAGCAGACCGCTTAGGTTATGGTCGTTCTCACTCCCTATCAGTGTCACTTGGAGTTTTGCCAAAGGAAGGACTTAGTCAATAAAGATGGTGCCAGGAACCTGGTGGCTCCTGGAATGTGCCAAATGAGCCTTTCTATCCTCATGGTCAGGAGGACGAGGCTTGTTAAGAACACTTCTGTTTATTCTACCTTCTTAGGACAACCCGTGAGCCCCTCTGGCAGGGCTGCCTGCTAGTCCATTCGGCACCTTTGTGCGAACTGGGAAGAAGGGACCCACCTGCAGGGGATGGAGAAACGGCTTCCACAGCGCCTGCGCTCTCCAGAGCAGACAGGAGAGGGGAGTGGGCGTGCCAGGGCCGTCCTGACCTACCTTTTACATACGGGGAACAAGCCCAGAGAGGGCAATGGACCTGCCCAAGGTCCGTAAGTCGTTGGTTTTTAAAAAGTGGAGCTCGAGTCTCCTGACGCCCAGCCTATCGTCCTTCCCCGGATCCAGTGTGTGACAAGCAGTAGCTTCATGGCCCAACAGGAGGAGGGAGGGCTTCCTTCCCCAGGGCACAGAGCGAGCTCAAGGACAGACAGACTCACAGGGCTCTCCTCTCTCACTGCTTTACTGACCCGTGTCAGAGAGACAGACATCATTTCTGAGTACTCACGAGGGGCTGATGACACAGGTGAGACCTAAATGGAGGCAGATGACTAACAACGTCTTCAGTTCGTTCCCCACATCCCCAGCCACATGGGGAGCGAAGCTCTTGCCTGCCCGGAACAGTGGTTCTCAACATTTGCAGTGCCCCAAAATAAAAACAGATTGTGGGCCCCGGCCCCAGAGCTGTCGATTCAGTGGGTTGGAGGTGGGGCCTGAGAACTTGGATTTCCAGCAAGTTCCAGGGTGATGCTCACGTTGCTGGCCTAGGGACCACACTGAGAACCGCTGTCCTAGAAATATGGTCAACCCACCCTTTCCTCCTTCACCTTCTTCACTCTCTTATTCCCCTTCTCTGCCTGTTTCTCCTTTTCTGCTTCCTCCAATTCCTCTCTGGTCCTCTTCTCACCTGCCACTGACTGGATGCCTGACTCGGGCGAGTCACCTCCCGTCTCTAGGCCCGAGGAGAGGCCGTCGGCTAGGCCGAGATGCCCCCGGTAGCTGTTCGCTGGCCGGGCAGTGGGCGGGGGCTCCTCTGTATCCCTAGATCTCTGTGCAGGTGTGTTGGGAGGGAGCTGCTGCGGGAATGAGACGACCTCCCGGCTACCTCCAGCCCCGACCCTGGGATTCTGACCTCTTCTTCCCTCCACACCTGAGCTTTTCTCTCTCCAGTTAGACGTGGTGTTTGGAGTCTTTCAGGACAAGAGGAGGGGAGCATCCCTGGGATGCAGGCGAAGAGGCCGGAACCGCCGTGCCCGGGCCCGAGCGTCAGGCCGCGCTCCAGCAGGGGGCGCGCCGGGGCAGCCCAGGTGTGCGGTCCGGGCCCGGCGGGGGGCGACCTGCGCCCCAGGGCGGGGATTCGGCCCGGGAACTCCCGGCCGCACTTAAGGAGCTCGGGCCAGCGTGAGGAGGCAGCGGGGAGGAAGCCCGGCGGCTGCTGACTCCCTCGGACCTGGACCCAGCCCCAGCCCGGCCCCAGCCAGCCCCGACGGCGCCATGCGGGGCCCGAGCCGGGCCCTGTGGCTGCTCCTGGCTCTGCGCACCGGTGAGGCCCCGCCGTGAGCGCCGAAGGCGGGCGGGTCCTGGGCCTGGAAATGTGCCTGAGCCCGCGGCTCTGGGGGAGTGAGGAGGGGACGCAGGGGCTCGGGGTGGAGTGAGGACGGCGGAGGGAACTAGCAGCGAAGCGCAGACGGGGATGTCTGGAAGGCTTCTTGGAGGAGGCGGCCTTGAGCCGGGCCTTGAAAACGTCCGGCGCTCCAGGGAAAAGCGCGGGCCGAGGCGTGGCGGGGAGGCCGCGGATGTGGAGAGGAGCTCCCCGAGGGCGGCCCCTCCTGACGGGCGCGGGAACTCAGGACGACTGTGGGGCCAGAACGGCTCTTTCCCCCGACCCCGCGGGAGAAGACTCAGAGGGACTGACCCGGAGGGGCGCGGGGTCCGCCCGAGGGGGCCTTGCACATGCAGGACGGAGGTGGGGGCGGAGTCTGGGTCCCGTCGCGTCGGCGCCCCAGGGAGTCGGGCCCGGGATGGTGGGACGGGAGGCGGGACCTCGGGGAGCGGCGCGCGGGGGTCGCAGGCGGCCACCGCCGCGGGGATGGAGCTCGCGGCACCGCTGTGGCCGCAGGCGACGCACTCATCGATGCAAACAGTGAAGCCACGACCCAGCCGCCGTCTGAACTTTGCCGTTTCCCGCCCGGGAGCTTGGAGCGCTGCGGAGGGGAGGCCAATTCGACTTTCCAGGGCGCCGGCGGGAGTGGGGAGGGGAGGGCTGTGCAGGAAGCTGCAGTCTCGGCCCTCGGACTGGTGGGGCTGCCACAGGAGGGTGACCTGGTTGCAAGGGGAGTCATGCGTTTCCCTCCAGCACAGGCCTCTGGCAGTGCTTGGCTGGGGCAGGGTGATTGGCAGAGGAGCTAAGGCCTGAAAGTCTTCAACCCCAAGGGGCTCCAGCACCCCTTCCTCTGGGGCCCTAGCCTGGAGCTCTCGGGGACCCTGACCCGGTCAGATCCTGAGGCATAAACAGAAGTCCCCTGAGGATCTGTGTGTCTTGGGCTCTCTGTGTGCGTTTCCTTTCAACACAGAAGGTGGGGCTTTTTATCTGCTTTATCGGAAGATGAAGCAGGCTCCGAGAGGCTTGAACCCACCCTGATGGGTCCTCAGCCTCCCCTCTGTGCCTGCCGCCTTCCCTTGGCAGGGCCTGGCACTGTGCCCACCGAGGGTGGGTTTGCAGCCAGCGTAATCGCAGACACTCCCCGAGGGTGCAGGGCTCCCGGAGGGCAGTCCACTCCACAGCCCCCTCACCTCACTCTCCTGTCACAGTTCATAAGAAAGGCCCAGGGACACTGCTGGGTGAGGGAACCCACACGAGCTCGCTCTTTGGGAGGCCTGGAGAAGGGAAGGAGCTTCCGCTTCCAGGGCCTGCCGAGACTCCCTAGCCAGTGCTCCCACCAGGTAGGGGTAGCTGAGAAGCGACCTGTAGACCTTCCCACACCTCTGTAAAGGGCCGGGTTCTGGGGCATTCCATTTGCCAGCAGCCGTGCCCCTGGTCAGAGAGGCCCTGAGCACAGGAATACCAGCCCTTCCCCTGTCTCTGTGCCTGTGGGAGGGCAGGGCGGCCGTAGAGGACTGGCTGTCCAGGCGGATGGGCTCACACAGAACTGCTGGAGCCCCCCTCCATGGTGGGCCGGGACTGGGCTTGGTGGGGGAGCTGGGCCTCACAGTTCCCTGCCCGCAGTGCTCGGTGGCATGGAGGTGCGGTGGTGCGTCACCTCAGACCCGGAGCAGCACAAGTGCAGCAACATGAGCACGGCCTTCCGGGAAGCGGGCATCCAGCCCTCCCTCCTCTGCGTCCAGGGCACCTCGCCTGACCACTGCATCCAGCTCATCGCGGTGAGTCCTCTCCGTTCCGCCCTGCGGGAAAACAGGGCTCTGACTCAGGAGGGAGCACACAATAGCCTCATTCAGCCGGAAAGGAGCCGACCCTGCCCTGCCGGGCCCAGCCGATAGATCTCCTGAGTCTCCCCGGCAATGAGGCCAACTCGCCTCCCGCGGGGCCCAGGCCAGGAGGTGGGAGCCTCAGGAGGACCCGCTGCTCAGAGGGCGCCAGCAAGGAAAGGCGTCTGAGAGGCTTCCCTTCCACAAGGCCCCTGCCAGGAGGCCCAGAGGGTGGTGACCCCTCAGTGGCCGCAGGTGGCTGCTTGCTCATTTTGCCATGGGGCTTTCCAGAATGGGGCTTGTGTGGTTTCTGGGAAGGAGGAGCAGGGGCTGGACTCCCAGGTGGCTGAGTATGGGGTAGGAAGGCAGGTCTGCTGAGACCGGCTGAATGACACTGACAGTCCTCAGAGGCACCATGAGGGAGTGGCGTCCCTCCCGGGTGGGCGCAGAGAGAGCTGGCTTTTCATTCCAGCTCTGCCCCCAGTATGCCCCCAAGACCTCATCCAATCATAGGCCCACAGTGGGGCCAAGGCTGTGGGTCAGGCTCCATGTGAGGGCAGAAACCGCAAGCACAGACCGTCTTAGAGAAAAAAAGCTGGAAAACCTAGGGTGGCCGTAGAGGCGCAGGGTGGAGGGACAGAAAGCGAGGGAGACTCACTTTTCACTGCCTGCCATTTTCTACTATCTGATTATTTTACTAGGATATCTGGAGTCCTGCAAAACTAATGATTAGTATTTTTTTAAATAACATTATTAGGAAAACAAGGTGAATCCTTGGCCTGGGAAAGGAGGAGAGCCCTGAGCTCTGGTTGGGCTCCAGGACCAGATAAGAACAGCACAGCCCTCCGGGCCTTGGGGTGGGGCCCCAGGCCATCTGGTTGGTGTCCCAGGTTCTTTGCTGAACAGGCCGGCTGGGCCAGGCTTGGCTGAGCCACGTTTCCTTGCAGGCCCAGGAGGCCGACGCCATCACTCTGGATGGAGGAGCCATCTATGAGGCGGGAAAGGAGCATGGCCTGAAGCCCGTGGTGGGCGAAGTGTACGATCAAGGTAGGAGGGTGCAGTGGGAGGAGAGAGGATGGGCTGTGCTCCCCAGGCTGCCCTTGCTGGGCCTGGCCTGAGCTGACCATCAGCCCTGTCCACAGAGCAGTCCTGGAGTCCCAGCCAGACGAACACCCTAAGTCTCTCTGAAATTCCCCAGGGGCGAGAGCTCGGGACACAGAGAGCTGCCCCAAGTCTGCTCTTCCCCACAGGGAGCCCTGCAGCCCCCTAGCCTGTGCCCACTCAGTTCTTACTGCGGGCTGCCCCGGGCGTGGTGCTGTGCCGGGCGTGGTGCGGTGCCGGGCGTGGTGCGGTGCCGGGCCTGGTGCGGTGCGGGGCGTGGTGCCGTGCCGGGCGTGGTGCTGTGTGTGTAACTGCCTGGGGTGAGCAAGGTGTCCTTCATGCCGAGCCACCTGCACACTCAGGGCCTCCCTGTCAGAAGCTTGGCTCTGGGTAGGGAGGTGCTGCCTGGCAGCCGCACAGCTCAACAGACCCAGCGCTTCCCCTTCCCATGACTTCTGTGACCTTGGCCAACCGCCACTTCCCGGACTGTAAAATGGGGATAGTAACACCTGCACTGTCACCCAGACTAAATGAGCCAGGCCGTGTGTCCACCTGATGTGGTACGTGCTGGAAAGCGTGAGTTCCTTTGCCCAGTGCCCGCATCACACACGGGACCTGCCTCCAGCTCAGCCTGCTCCTGCGTCTCCCCCATCACCTCTGCTTGGCCGGCGCCTGGCCTCCATCACAGTCCAGCGCAACTGTCACCTCCTCCAAGGTGCTCCCTGAGCCCCTCCCTCCCTGGAGCGGGGCCTCTTGCCTGCACCCCCACGGCCTCTGCAAGCCTCTGCCTGCTCAGTCTCGTTAGTCCCCAGAGGAGGGTCCAGTCTTCCCCTGCGTCTATCCTCTGGAACTCCACACAGCGTCTCGCTTGGAGAAAGCACTGGCCGGTTCCTTGTTGAATTAATGACCATCCAATGACACACAGCACAGTCCAACCCTGCACACCCATCAGCCAGAACTAGCTCTGCTCCCAGGCCCCGCACCTCTTCCTCTTTAATTAACTCCATACCTCTGCTAAGCACCTGCCACCCGCTGGTCTGAGCATGGAGCCGTAAACAAAGAGACCTTGCTGCTCTCACAGAGCAGAGTAAACACACACAACTCTACAGTGACACGTGTGGGGGTGCTGTGAGGAAAAGGAACAAACACACACAACTCTTCAGTGACACATGTGGGGGTGCCGTGAGGAAAAGGAAAGGGCAGGACAGAGCAAACGAGGGTTGCGGAGAAACCCACTGAAATAGAGCAGGCAGGACGGTGCTCTGCGGAGGCGACGGGCAAGCTGAGCCCCGCAACGATCTCAGGCGGTCCAGGGAATGGGAAAGAAACAAGGTGGGTGAGTCAGAGGATGGCACCAGATGAAGCTACTTAGGTTGGTGGGGGCAGACCCTGGTGCGCAAGAAGGAACACTGACTTTATGTTCTAGAACCCAACTTCGTTCTGATATGGCCTCCCACACCACCCGGCAGTTTGTGCGTGCGTGTATGCCTGTGTGTGTGCGCTCGTGCAGTGGGAGACCCTCTGGTCATCAGTTCCCATAGCTGCGTCGTCTGTGTTTTGCCTGAACTGCCCCTTGGAGCCACCTTGGCACAGGGGAACATTTCACAAGGCTGCAGAGCCCTGGCCCACCACACGCACCCTGCAGCCTTGAGGGTCGTGAGTGACTTGGGACCACGTTGCTAGGTGTCTCTGTCTCTCTGTCTCTGCCTCGTCTCACTCTCCTCCAACCCCCTCAGCACCAGGAAATCGCCTCTCCTCATCTGGGGAAGCCTCTCGCCTGCTCCCCTGCTCGTCCTAGCCACCCTTCTTCCCATGGCCCTGATACCGTTCCCTCAAACCCTCCAAGTTCTCCTAGGGGCCTAGGCTTTTGGAAAGCAAGGACTTGCTGGCTTCTTCTGCTTTCTGTCCAGCTAAATAACTCCCCTGATGTGAGCAAATGTGAACCAGCTAAGCACCAGCTGCTTAGGAAGAGGGGGAACTCAGTGAATACATCAGTATCTCAGGATCGTATCTACCTCAAGAGGCTAGAGGGCAGGGTCTCGTAGTACATGTGGATTAAGCCCACTTGCTGTCTTGGTAACGAGAATGCTATGCACACATCCATGATGTACAGCCATGCTCCGTGCACACACCTCTCCCACAGCCGGCCTCGGCAGGGTGCTGGTACAGCCTCCCTTGAGGCCTCTCCCTGCTGCCCTCACCCGCTCCCCTCCCCTCCTAGAGGTTGGCACCTCCTATTACGCCGTGGCTGTGGTCAAGAGGAGCTCCCAAGTGACCATCAACACCCTGAAAGGCGTGAAGTCCTGCCACACGGGCATCAATCGCACAGTGGGCTGGAACGTGCCCGTGGGCTACCTGGTGGAGAGCGGCCGCCTCTCGGTGATGGGCTGCGATGTACTCAAAGGTAAGGGCTTTGGGCTGGGCAGGAGGGTCCCCAGGCCTCCCGCTCCTTTCCTTGGGATGCTTTCCTTTCCATGCTTGTCCCTTCACTGGGCAGCCTCCCTCCAGCCTCACCGCCATTCTTCATCCCTGGAAGGCGTAGCAACCTCCTCCGCCTCCCCGCACCGTCCACTCTGCCGCCGGCCCTGCGCGCCGCCACGTGACTTCCTGCTTGCTTGGCCCCTGTGGGCACCATTCTTGCTCACCCCTCACGGTGCCCCACATGACGGTCAGGCCCAGGCCCAGCCCATGAGTGGGAGGCAGTGAATCCCCCAGGAGTGCTTCCCACGCTGTCTAGAAATGTGTCCTCAGCTTTACAGGACCAGAAATGCTGTTTTTTCAGGACCCAAACAAGGTGTTGACTTGCACCCAGAAAGCCCCCAAGTGGCTCATCAGCCCAACCAGCCGTGTAAACCCACGAGAGCCTGGAAGCCGCACCCTCCCAGCTGGTGGCCAGGCGTGGGTGGCTCGCCAGGAACTTGGCATATTTATTACACACCTATCCTCTGGGAGGTCACAAAAAGAAGACTAGGAAGAGGGCTTACTCTGGAAAAGCTCAGTCTGGCTGGTGATGAGTGTGGCCCGATGGGCTTGGGTGCCGGCAGCAGGGCCTTCTCGTGTGGCACAGGATAAATATTTGTGAGTTTTGGTGCCGGCCGGGCCTGAAGAACCATGCAGGGCAGCAGACCCTGACCTCGTCCCCCACGAGGCCAGCCGCCGGGCGTTTGCCTCCCTCCCTGTGCTGTGAGAAGTGTCTGTCTTTATTTCCCCTCTGTCGTCAGTCACACCTCGCTGAGTTGGAAATGAAAGCCACGATGAGAAGAGCATCTAGTTGATGCTTAGTTATCCCGTGTGGTCATTTAGGAGGAAACTTGTAGTTCCCCCGAACCACTTTTAAATGACAGTCGCTCCCCAGTGCTCACTGCTCCCTTGGGGGACCCGGTTTGGGGTCACGGATCGGGTCCGGGGTCCGGCTCCCCAGTTTTACTCAGACTGAAGCTGGAAGGTGGAACCGTTCTCAGCAGAGTCCAGATGAGACCCTGCAGGGCCCGGCCCCCCGCTGACCCTGGGGTTTTAACTTGGCTCTGAAGAAAGTTCTGAGTGACCTCTCTGCCTCCTTCCCACAGCTGTCAGCGACTATTTTGGGGGCAGCTGCGTCCCAGGGGCAGGAGAGACCCGTTACTCTGAGTCCCTCTGTCGCCTCTGCAGGGGTGACAGCTCTGGGGAAGGGGTGTGTGACAAGAGCCCCCTGGAGAGATACTACGACTACAGCGGGGCCTTCCGGTGAGCGGAGCGGGGGTGGGGAGGGCCGGGCGGGGAGGAGCTGAGTCGTGCGGGCGGGCGGAGGCGCTACGGCCACGGATGCTGGGGAAAAGCACCTTTGCCCAGAGAGGCCGTGGAGGGGAAGTGGCGGTGTTGGCTGCCTCTCATCAAAGCGCGCTTTATATAGTTCTGTGCCCTGGTTAGTTTAAAAACATCCAACCGGAATATGCCAAACTGGATTTGCTCATAAAATCAACATGTTTGGTATATTTAGTGAGGTGAGGGCTCGGAGAGAAGAAAATGGAAAAAACAGCCTTTTGACCACTCCCATGTCCCCGTTCTCAGACCAGCAGGGACAGGGGGTTGGGGGACTGTGGCTTGACACTTGGGGCCGGCCTGTCTCTGCTGCTGGTTGGGGCTGGCACCTTGGGTAATCCTTCCGTGGATACAAGAGAGTCTCTAACAGTTCGTGGTCCAATTCCGTCTGCCTGCAGAGGAGGAAACGTGCTGAGCAGGACTGGAAGGAAGCTTCTGGGGCTCCTCTAGCTGCCTCACGTTTCCACCTGGAGCGGGGAAGCCTGCTGGTGTCCCACGCTCCAGATGTGATCTGAGTGGATGCAGTTTTTGGCATAGAGAGAGGAAACAGTACTCAGCCCCTCTGAGCGGCAGAGCCTTGCCCCTCCCCTGCCCCGCGTCCTTGGCCACGCACGCATTCTCTCTGACTCTCCTGGAGCCTCAGAGCCCTCTCCTGATGTCGTCCTCCCCGACCTGCTCTAATCCCTGCGTGTTTTCTGCCTGTGGGGACCTAAGCAGCCTCTTTGCCCAGCAGGTCTCACCTGCCTCCAACACGAGGCAGTGACATCAACAGAACATGTACAAGTCAATGGTCCCTCCCACTCAGGATCCTGCGGCATGGCATGAAAAGGCCTTCTAGTCCAATCCCCTGCCTCAGGGTAGAATGCTTTTCAAAACACCCTGAAAATTAGCCCAACATGGTGGCACACACCTGTCCTCCCAGCTACTTTGGAGGCAGAGGCAGGATGATCACTTGAGCCCAAGAGGTCAAAGCTGCCATGAGCTATGATTGTGCCAGTGCACCCCAGCCTGGGCGACACGGCGAGACCTTATCTCTAAAAACAAAATAACCAAAACCAACACCCTGAGAGTCAAGGCTGCTGGTATTATAACAGCAGCTGCCCTGGGAGTGCCTGCTCCCTACAGGCCTGAGCCAGGCTGGAGAGGGTCTGTACTGGGTTATAAAGAGCCTCTCATCCTCAGAGCAGCCCGATGGAGCTGCTTTCCCGCCCCCGCTTTACAGGTGATAGGGACTAGGAAGGGGCCACAACTCAGCAAAGCCGCAAAGCCACACAGACAACCAGCCAGGGAGCTGGAACCCAGACCACATGACTGGAAAGCCCATGCCGATCATGGCCACCCCTACAGCCCGAGCCAGGCCTCCAGAGGTGGAAGATGGGCAGGGGCCAGGGGCTCAGCCCATCCAGACCCACAGCTTCTCCACAGGTGCCTGGTGGAAGGGGCAGGGGACGTGGCCTTTGTGAAGCACAGCACGGTACTGGAGAACACGGATGGTGAGTGGGGGCAGGGCACGGGCCCAGAAAAGCAGCGTGCCAGGCCAGGCCGGCCTGGGGCAGGGCACCTAGATGGCAGAGTTGGGATCAAACACCCTAGTTCAGTGCTGCTCTGAGTCTCTGGGTGATCTTGGATAAGTCCCATAGTCTCTGAGCCTCAGCACTCCCAGCTGCAAAAGAGCAGAGGCAAGTGTCACCGGGGGAGTGCCCACTGCTCACAGGGCAGGAGAAGGGGGCCAGCGAGCAGCTCTGCTCTGCTCTGATCTGAATATGGCATTGGGTTCTGGTTCCACCTGAAGATGGGGGTCTGATTTTTTAAAGAATTTGCAAACCTCTCCACTGGATCTCACCTACCAGCCCTTCCTGGCATTTTTCTCCTCTTGCCTGGAGAATCTGTCCCTCATCCCTAGGTAGGTTTAAAATATAGGTTGGTGTTGAGGTGGGGCACGCTGGCTCATGTCTGTAATCCCAGCACTTTGGGAGGCCGAGGTGGGCAGATCACGAGGTCAGGAGATCAAGACCATCCTGGCCAACATGGCGAAATCCTGTCTCTACTAAAATACAAAAAACTAGCTGGGCATGGTGGTGGTTGCTTGTAATCCTAGCTACTCGGGAGGCTGAGGCAGGGGAATTGCTTGAACCCGGAAGGCGGAGCTTGCAGTGTGTTGAGATCGTGCCATTGCACTCCAGCCTGGTGACAGAGTGAGACTCTGTCTAAAAAAATAAAAAACAAAAAAAGATTGATGTTATATATTAAGCCATCATGTCACTTAAGTTTTTTAATCTTGAAAGAACTGAGCTTTGGAAAAGTTACAAGAATAACTCAAAGAGCTGCCTTCTCTTCTTCACCCAAATTCTAACTGTTTAGCATTTTTCCACATTTGATTTGTGTGTGTGTGTGTTCTGACCCATTTGAGAGTATATTTGCCTATGTCATACCCCTTAAATACTTTACTATGTATCTCCTAAGGCAAGGAGATGTGTACCTAGCCACAGTAATCAAAATCAGGAAATGCAACTTTGATCCAATCCTGTTATCCAATCTATAATCAATATTGCAGATTCACTCACCATCCCAATTCTATCCTTCATACCCATTTTTTTCAGACCAGGACTGAATCTTTTACCACGTTTGGGGTTTAGTTGTTAGATCTCTTTAGTTTCCTTTATCTTGGAACAGTTTCTCAGTCTTTGTTTTTTATGACATTGGCATTTTGAAGCATCAGGCCAGTTATTTTATAGAATGTCCCTCAATTTAGATTTGCCTGAAGATTGTTTCTTTTTTTAAATTGAGATAAAATTTACATGCAGCAAAATTTGTTCTTTTTGAAGTATAGTTCTATGAGTTTTGCCAAATCCATACAGTTGTATAACCACCACCAGAATCGAGATCTGGATGGGGCAGATGCTTCAGCCCAGGAGTTCCTCAGGCCCTGCTGGTTATCCCCCTGCACCTGCCAGCAAGGAGCAAACACACTGTTCTGTCTGCAGTTTGGCCTCTCCCAGGACATCTGATGATTGGGGTTTTTTTTAAGTCATTATCATTCTTTACTGTTATCAATCGTTGCCTTTTAAATCAGAAAGTCCATCATGAAGGCAAACATGGACCAGATCCGAGAAGGAGGAAAACAAGTGGCCTGCACACGAGGAAGCGTGTAAGATGATGCACTCTCGTGCTGGGCAAGCCTGGAAAGGGGCTCCTGTTCACAGGCCCCAAGACGAGTTCGACAAAGGAGAATTTGGAAAATGGGCAAAGAGCAGGGATATGTTGGGTTAAAAATCAGCTTTTTCAGACTTGGGTTTTTTGTTTTTTTTGTTTTTTTTGTTTTTGAGATGGGGTCTCACCATGTTGCTCAGGCTGGTCTCAAACCCCCAGCCTCAATTGATCCTCGCATCCCAGCCTCCTGAGTAGCTGGGATTACAGGCATGCACCTGGCAGCTTTTTCAAAGTTTTGACGGTAATCTAAGGCAATCTAAGGCAGTAATTTTTTAAAGTGACTTGATACAAAAAGATTGGTAAGAGCAAAAGGGTACAAGTGGCATAAATGTCTAGAGCAGGGAAGTGACAGGACTTTCATTGTTCTTGGCTTTGAGAAGTGGAAGTGGCTGATGGAAGTACCTGAATGATGCATTTGTCTGTGGGAAGGCAAAGGATGCCCCAGAGCTCTAACCAAAGGCTTTGCAGCAGCCTAAAAACAGAGAAAAGTTGGGAAGTGGAGGGGGGAGAACTGCACTGAGTCATTAAGAGTGCTGTCAAGTACCATGTGGCCATTAAAAATGACCTTTACGGAGTTTTCCAAACTGTTACTCTGGTGTGGGTTTTTTGGTTTTGTTTTAAAATAGCTTTGCAATGAAAACTTTCGTGACCATACAAATTATCTTTTCTCTTCCTATTTCCTTGTAGAGGTTTTTTCCCTCCTTGTCTTAAAGTCATAAAAATATTGTTCTGTGGGACCATCTGTGGTTTAATTATAGTCCTTAATATTCATCTTCTCAGTATCCCTAGTTGGTGTTAATAGTTACTCTTGCAAATTTTCTTTTCTATTGAGAAACAAATGAATTTATGGAAAGTTTCCAATACTGTGGAAAAATACTTTGCCAAGTAGGATGCAAAATTGCCTGTCAACTATGTCCTTAGCCAGGTTAAAAGTGGTCAAAAGGGGGCTGGGCACGGTGGCTCACACCTGTAATCCCAGCACTTTGGGAGGCCGAGGCTGGCGGATCACGAGGTCAGGAGTTTGAGACCAGCCTGGCCAACATGGTGAAACCCCGTCTCTACTAAAAATGCAAAAATTAGCCGGGCGTGGTGGCGGCGCCTGTGGTCCCAGCTACTCGGGAGGCTGAGGCAGAAGAATCACTTGAACCCAGCAGGCAGAGCTTGCAGTGAGCCGAGATCACGCCACTCACTCCAGCCTGGGCGACAGAGCGAGACTCTGTCTCAAAAAAAAAAAAAGGTGGGGGGATCAAAAGACAGGGAGTAAAACAGGAAAAAGGACTTGAAAGAAACCCATCCCAACGTGAATAGCTGGAGTTGCGGAGTTCCCCTTCCCTCTCTAGCCCGCGTGGGCAGATTCCGTCCGGGTTTGTTCCCACCTTGGTCCCTGCTCCTGGAGCCCTGACCCCTCCCCCTGCTCAGAGCCAAACGTAGTGCCTCATGGCAGCCGCAAGCTCATCCTAGACTCTTAGTACATTTCTCTCTCTCACCCAAAACTGTTCTTATTTTCTTGCTCTTTTTTTTTTTTTTTTTTTTTTTGAGACGGAGTCTCGCTCTGTCGCCCAGGCTGGAGTGAGTGGCCGGATCTCAGCTCACTGCAAGCTCCGCCTCCCGGGTTCACACCATTCTCCTGCCTCAGCCTCCCGAGTAGCTGGGACCACAGGCGCCCGCCACCTCGCCCGGCTAGTTTTTTTGTAGTTTTTAGTAGAGACGGGGTTTCACCGTGTTAGCCAGGATGGTCTCCATCTCCTGACCTCGTGATCCACCCGCCTCGGCCTCCCAAAGTGCTGGGATTACAGGCTTGAGCCGCTGCGCCTGGCCATTTTCTTGCTCTTTTTATCTTGAATAGTTATTTATAAGTATTGTATTACTGTCAGATGCCTCCAATCCACTTTAGCAACAGAAGTTGGTGAGAGCTAGAAAATGAGAGTAACGAGATAGAGTCTGTGTAGGTACTTGGAGTTGGGTGCAGCCACCAAGCTCTGCCACCTTCTGAATGCTGGGTTCTCACGTCCATGACACCCAGCCACCCCCCAGAATCCCTCTTCTGGGCCTTCCTTGCCACCCGCCCCAACCCCTGTCATAGCTGGGTCAGCCCAGGCTTCCTTCTTCCCAGGGAAGACGCTTCCCTCCTGGGGCCAGGCCCTGCTGTCACAGGACTTCGAGCTGCTGTGCCGGGATGGCAGCCGGGCTGACGTCACCGAGTGGAGACAGTGCCATCTGGCCCGGGTGCCTGCTCACGCTGTGGTGGTCCGAGCCGACACAGATGGGGGCCTCATCTTCCGGCTGCTCAACGAAGGCCAGGTGGGCTCAGAGTCCCCCAACCCCCCTGCACAGCGTCCTGGATGGTGCTGGGCCTTGTGGTCGCTCAGCAGGGTGGGATCAAGAGGGGCAGGACCCAGAGACTGTCCTTGGGATGGACCCCAGCATTGGGCCAGGTCAGAGTGAGGAACCAGTCGGCTGTGCTGGCTGCCCAGGAGGAGGGCTGGCCAGGGGAGGGGGACCCAGAGGAGGGGGACCCAGGGACCCAGGCACCCTCAGAAGAAGCTCCTGATACTTGTGTCTCTGAGAGCTAAAATCAAAACATATGAGCAAATAAACGAAGTGACAAAACCAGAGCCTTTCAAAGCATTCACCATTCACCATGAATTACATGTGGCGAATAAGGTTTGGCCCAAACCGCTGCTTTTGACAGTGATATACTTCTGACCACTGGCGCCCCAGGCTCAGTTAGTTTTGTCCCATCCAGGCTGCCACTGCCAGCCCCACGGCATGTCCTCAGGGCCGTCCCACCCCTGGCCACAGTCATGTGTCCAAACAGCTGAGTGTGATGAGGCCAAATGGACTCAGAGCAGACCCAGAACTGGCAGGGCCCAGGGGAAGGAGACAGCGGATCAGGGGAGGCACCGCAGAAGAGGGAGGCCTCGCCTGGCCCTCACAGTGGGCGCCTGGTCTGAGGTCAGGGAAGAAGGAGGTAGGGCCCGAAGTGGGAGGAAAGGATGTGGCCTGTCAGGACCCTCACCACCCTGTACCCACCCCCTCTTGACACACAGCGTCTGTTCAGCCACGAGGGCAGCAGCTTCCAGATGTTCAGCTCTGAGGCCTATGGCCAGAAGGATCTGCTCTTCAAAGACTCCACCTCGGAGCTTGTGCCCATCGCCACGCAGACCTACGAGGCGTGGCTGGGCCAGGAGTACCTGCACGCCATGAAGGGTCTGCTCTGTGATCCCAACCGTAAGTCCACCCGTCCCGACTGCTGCCAGCTCCAGCCCAGCTCGACCTCGGGCATGGCAAGGCTCTCTGGGAAAGCGGCTGGGGGAAGATGCTCACCAGGGAGGCCTCTGTAGGAACCTGTCATTTCTGTCCTCTGCCTCTGGGGCTTTGGGGAGGAAGCCCCTCTTCAGCTGCACCGCCTGTTGTGCCTCGGAAGCCCCACCTGGCCGCAGCGGAGTAGGATCCAGGCCCTCAGAATCTGCCTTGGGAAGGGTCTCCTCACCCCTCCATCCGTGGCCATGGCGTCCTGTCAGTTCTTCTACAGCCTCTCGCTCCTACTCCCCGCCTCTATCCCATGGCTACAGCCCTGGCTCAGGCACTGTCTTTTGCCTGGACTGGTGCAGTAGTCTACAAGCGAACTTCTTGCCTTTAGCCCTCCAGCCCCATATATCTTCCACCTACAGCCAGGGAAGTGGGTACCACACACTGAGTTAGATACACGACAGCCGTGGTCTTCCTCAAACCTCACAGCTGCCCCTTTTCTGTATGAGGAAGTGGGATCCGATGGTTAAATAACTTATCCCAGCCACACCGGAGAAAGGCCCAGAATTTCCCTTGGGTCTGACTCCAAGCTCTTCCATGGCAGTACCGGCCTGGCAGTGACCGCTTGCTTGCCCCACCCCAGGGCTGCCCCCCTACCTGCGCTGGTGTGTGCTCTCCACTCCTGAGATCCAGAAGTGTGGAGACATGGCCGTGGCCTTTGGCCGGCAGCAGCTCAAGCCAGAGATCCAGTGCGTGTCAGCCAAGTCCCCCCAGCACTGCATGGAGCAGATCCAGGTGGGGGTCGCGCAGGTGCCGCGTGGGCCAGGTGGGCAGGTAGTGGCAGTGCCTGGGCGGTTCTTACTACCCACTCCCCCTGCTGCCTGGGGAAGAGAAGAGTGTCTACTGCAACAAGGCCACAGAGACAGGCGGGAGGAGCGACCACAGGGACCAGCACCCACCCCAGGGGACAAAGACGGGGGGGCGGAGCAACTGCAGGGACCAGCACCCACCCCAGGGGACAGAGACAGGTGGAGAGGAGCGACTACAGGGACCAGCACCCACCCCAGGGGACAGAGACAGGCGGGGAGGAGGGACCGCAGGGACCAGCACCCACCCCAGGGGATAGGCAGATAGGAGTGAGTCCCCTGGAGAGCCTGCGAGCTCCTCACCGAGCGGGGGCACCAGCAGCAAAAGGAGCACTGGCCCAGCTGGGCGCTGACGCCCTGTAGCCTGGGGCGAGCCCCTTCCCCTTTCTGAATCTCAGCCTTCCCTTGTGCAATAGAGAGTGGGCGTGAATCATTGTTCAACCTTTTTTTTCTTTTTTCCTAATTTTTCTAAATAGACAAATAGTAATTGTGCATATTCATAAGATACATGGTGATGTTCCGATACACAGAATACATGGTGATCGGAGCAGAATAATAATTAGCATACTGTCATCTCAAACATTGCTCATTTCTCTGTGTGGAGAACATGCAGTATCTTCCTACCTGTTTGAAACTATGTATTATTGTTAACTCTAGTTATCCTACAGTCTATAGAACACTGGAGCTTATTCCTCCTCTCTCTTATTTTGTATCCTTTAACAAATCTCTCCTGGGCGTGTTGGCTCACACCTGTAATCCCAGTACTTTGGGAGGCCAAGGCGGGTGGATCACTTGAGATCAGGAGTTCAAGACCATCCTGGCCAACATGGTGAAACCTCGTTTCCACTAAAAGTACAAAAAAATTAGCCTGGCATGGTGGCACGCAGCTGTAATCCCAGCTACTCAGGAGGCTGAGGCAGGAGAATCGCTTGGACCCGGGAGGCGGAGTTGCAGTGAGCCGAGATCATGCCATTGCACTCTAGCCTAGGTGACAAGAATGAGACTCTGTCTCAAAAAAAAAAAAAAATCTCTCCCTATTCCTCCTTTCCCCCACCCTTCCCAGTCTCCAGTATCCTCTGTTCTACTTTTTACTTCTGTGAGATCAACTTTTTTTAGCTTCCACATATGAGTGGAACATATGGTGTTTAACTTTCTGTGCCTGGCTTATTTCACATAACACAGTGTCCTCCAGTTCCATCTGTGTTGCTGCCAGTGACAGGATTTCATTCTTTTTTATGGCTAAATAGTATTCCACAGTGCATGCCGATGACATTTTCTCTATCCATCCTCTGTTGTTGGACACCTCGTTGATTCCATATCCTGGCTATTGTGACCAGTGCTACGATAAACATGAGGTGCAGGCATCCCTTCCACAGGCTGATTTCCTTTTTCCTTTGGACGGATTCCCAGTGGTGGGATTGCTGGACCGTACGGTAGTAAATAGTTCGATTTGTCATTTGTGGAGGGACTTCCATACTGTTTTCCATAGCGACTCTCTGGGTTTCCATCCCCACCAACAGTGTAAGAGTTTCCTTTATTCTGCATCCTCACTAGCATTTGTTATCTTTTATCTTTTTGATAACAGCCACCCTAACTGGGGTGAGCTGATACCTCACTGTGGCTTTGGCATGCATTTCCCTGATGATTAGTGCTGCCTGCTGGCATTTTGTATGTCTTCTTTTGAGAAACGTCTGTTCTGGTCATTTGCCCATTTTTAAGTCGGATGATTTTCTGCTGTTGAGATGTTTCCGCTGCGTGTATATTCTGGATATTAATCTCCTTCGGATGAGTAGTTTGCAAATATTTTGTCTCACTCCGTAGGTTGTCTTCATTTCACTCTGACGATTGTTTTATCTGCTGTGCAGAAACTGTTTTGTTTGGTATAATTCCATTTGCTTATTATTGCTTTTGTTGACTGTGCTTTCGAGGTCTTTTCATAAAATCTTTTCCCAGACCAATGTCCCGAAGCGTTTTGCCTGTATTCTCTTTAGCCCTTTTATTGTCTTGAGCCCTGCATTTAGGCCCCTGATCCGTGATGCGTTGACCCCTGCGTAGGGTGAGGGGTAGTTTAGGGCCCAGTTCATTCTGCACTTGGACATTCCGCCTTCCTAGCAGCAGCCACTGAGGAAGAGACCACTCTTTTCCCAACGAGTGTTCTTGGAACCTTTGTCAAAAATCATCGGGCTGTAGACCTGTGGGTTAATTTCTGGGTTCTCTATTCTGTATCATTGGTCTCTATGTCAGTTTCTATGCCTCTATCTTTGTTCTTTTTGCTTAGGATTGCTTTGGCTATTCAGGGTCACTTGTGGTCCCATACAAAGTTTAGGATTGTTTTTTCTAATTCGGTAGAGAATGTCGTTGGTATTTTCATAGGGAAGTTCAACTTTTTTTTTTTTTTTTTTTTTTGAGACAGAGTCTCACTCTGTCGCCCAGGCTGGAGTGCAGTGGCCAGATCTCAGCTCACTGCAAGCTCCACCTCCCAGGTTCACGCCATTCTCCTGCCTCAGCCTCCCGAGTAGCTGGGACTACAGGCACCGCCACCACGCCCGGCTAGTTTTTTTTTTTTTTGTATTTTTTAGTAGAGATGGGGTTTCACCATGTTAGCCAGGATGGTCTCGATCTTCTGACCTCGTGATCCGTCCGTCTCGGCCTCCCAAAGTGCTGGGATTACAGGCTTGAGCCACCGCGCCCGGCCGGAAGTTCAGCATTTTTGACAGCACCGTGCACTTGGAAATACATTTTACATTGACCACAATCTAGTGCACAAAAAGTTTTCTTTCAGATATAAATGAAAAAAATATATGTCCTTTATATACAGAGATATGACACAAACAGTACCCGCTACTTCTCATGTATTCTATTCTAATCCTTTTTTTGCTGACACTTGTCATGACCCATTAAATGGATTTGGCCCCCACGAACAGACTCACCATCGCAGCTAGAAACACCAGCTGGCCCCGCCTCTCGTGCCCGTTTGGCTCCGCCCCGGTTCGCTTCTCTGCCTGGAGACTGACGCCAGATGCAGAGGAGGCCCCAGAGGCTCTGCAGTCCGGGAGGGCTGCTGTGGTCACGGGTGTCCAGCCTTGGCCCAGAGCCCCGGCTGTCAGCCCCTGGGTGTCCACACTCCCCAGATTCTGTTTTTAGAGCAAGTAGGTGGGGTCTGTTCAGGGGGTCCCCAAGCACAGGCCCCTCAGCAGTGCCAACCCTGCCCAGGCCGGGGAACCACATTGACTGGAAGGAAGGCCACAAAAAAGAGACCGGGCAGGAATACAGGGTGACCAGGCCTAGGACAGTGACCATCGCACAAGCTGACACTCGCTGTGCGCCCCACACAGTGAGGGTCGTTGTGTGGATCATCTCATGTGACCCTCACAGCAGCCCTGGCAGTTGGTGTGACCATCGGCCCCACTTTTGGGTCTGGAGCGGGGAGAGAGAGGCTGGGGAAGTAACTTGCCCAAGGTCACCAGCCAGGATGGGCTGTGTGAGCTTCCCCACACCACTTTGCCTGAGCCAGGCCACAGCGCTGTCTCCACACCTGTGGATCGCGAGAGTGGAGACCACCCCAGCCTCAGGCCAAGGAGTGCCCAGGCCCAAGGCGGGGGTGTTCCGGGAGCTTCCGCAGGCACTGATGGAAGCCTGTCCTTGTGCAGAGCTGAGAGCAAGTGTGTGTGACGCTAACAGGGGAGCCTCCGCTGGAACCTGGAACGGAGGGAAGGTCTTGGGGGAGGGTCTTTATTTCTTTATTTCCCAATGCCTGGCAGGCTGCCCTATTGTTCCAAGCACCCCAGAGGAGGGAGATGTGCTGGGAGGAAGGTTTCAGCTCCCTCTGAGTGCCAGCCTCCTCTCAATCTGGGCTCACAGAGGGCCAGGGGGCTGCCCTGCGGCCTGCGGGAAGAGGAGAGACCAGGGGCTCCTCAAAACCCCAGCAAAGGTCTCAAAGACCCTCAGTTCTAGCTTCTGAGGTTCTCAGAGAGGTATCCAGTGTGGCCGTAACACCCATTCCTGCCCTGCCAGTTACAGGGAAGCCAGAGGGCCTGGGCTGCAGTGCATGGTCTGTGTCCTGCCCACAGCGCAATGGGAAGAAGGAGGTCTGGGCAGTGGATAAAGGGTCCCGAGAGGTGCACCCTCCTGGCCCCAAATGTCAACGCCGCTGCCTGTTATTCTACCACCATCACTTCACGCCTCTTCAGGAATGGTGTGGGACACCTTCCTGGGGCACAGGTGTCCCCACTGTCCCCCACTGTCATCCCCTTCCCTTGAGGTTAATCACACTCTACTATGGCTTTGTTGCCGGTTAGCCCCTTGGCAGGGTCCTGGGGCCACCTGTCAAGGGGCTTCTGAATGGACAAGTGGGGTGGGTACAGGTGACCTGGAGGCCCCAGGAGGGTCCTGGGAAGAAGGCGCTGGGTCCTCCTGCTGCCATGGCAGGCAGAGCTCCATCCCTCAGCCCTGGAGCCTCCTCCCTAGGCCCTGAGACTGCCGTCGTTTCAGATCCGCCACTCTTCCATCTGTACAGGCATTTAACAGACAGGCATTATACCACACGGTGTGCTGGCCCTTGGCCAGGTGCTGGAGAGGTGGTGCCTGGCCGTCTGGGGGCTGGCAGTGCATAGGGAGGCTCATGCCAAGCATGAGGGTAGGGATCGCGCTTGCTTTGCTCAGAGCAGGGACACAGGGGACCCTGGGCAGCCACACGCAGGAGTGCTGCGTGGGTGTTTCAGCCCCTTGGTCCTCCAGACACCCCTCCCGGTCAGGCGTCTTCACAAGGAGAGGAAGGGGCAGGCTGCCAGGATGGGCTATTCCCCACCCAGATTCCCCAGGGGAAGGAAGCCTGAGGCCACAAACCCCTAGAGACCAGGCCCTGCCACCTCCATAGGACCCCGACATCCAGAACCATCCTGGGTCCACCCTGGCCCAGTTGCTGCTTCTGTTCCCTTCAGGCTGGGCAAATTGACACTGTGACCCTGAGCGGCGAGGACATTTACACGGCGGGGAAGACGTACGGCCTGGCTCCGGCAGCTGGCGAGGGCTATGCTTGTGAGTGCAGGGCCTGCCGCCTGGCCGCAGCCAGGAGGTGGGGAAAGTGTTATAAATATAAAAGAGTCCCCCTCTCAGCTATTTTCACAAGCTCCCTGCCTCTCTCCTGGGGATAGTGACTGTCTATCACCAGGCCTGCCCCTCCTGCCCCAGGCCTCAGTTTTCCCAACTATTCCACATACGTCTCTAAGGGGCTGGCAAACTTTCTGTAAAGGATTGGAGGATAAATACTTGAGACTTTGCAGATGACAGTCTGTCTTTCAATAACCCTTTCAAAATATAAAAATCATTCTCAGTTTACAACCCAGGCCATACAAGAGCAGGCGCGTGGTTTGCCATCTTGAACTACTGGGGCCTCCTCAGCCTCTTCTGGCCCTAACCAGCCATGGAAGGTGGCCCTTTGGAGTCCCCCTGCCAGCTCATTTGCACCTTCTGAGGGGCCTGGGCTGGGGCTTTGGCCTCTGTCCTCTTACTGGTGACCTCAGAGGCCTGGGTCCCTTCCACCCGGGTGTGAGCAATCTCTGGGCTGTGGGAAATGCTTCTGCAGCCTCAGCTGTGACTCCACTTTCCTCCCGGGAAGTGAGAAAAATACCACCTGGGTTTAAGGAAAGAAGGAAATCCCTGTGGGGAAGGACTGCTGGGGCCAGAGGAAGACAGGGCTGGAAAGCGGAGCCAGGAGGCTGCATCTCACAGGGGATGCAGGCAGGGCCTCTGCTGGGCCTGCTCCCGGAACACCCGGTCTCAGGCCTGGGCACTGTTTGGCCTGCACAGCTCAGACAAAGAGGCAGGAAGGAGTGGGTTTGAAGGAAGGACCCCACAGGCCCTTGCCCGGGCTCTCAGCTGAGGGGCCCCTCGCATGAGTCCCTCTTTCCCCAGCGGAAGACAGCAGCAACTCGTACTTCGTGGTGGCGGTGGTGAGGCGGGACAGCTCCCACGCCTTCACCTTGGATGAGCTTTGGGGCAAGCGCTCCTGCCACGCTGGCTTCGGCAGCCCTGCAGGCTGGGATATCCCCGTGGGCGCCCTCATTCGGAGAGGCTTCATCCGGCCCAAGGACTGCGACGTCCTCACAGGTACCCCCCTTTTAGGAACACAGACTAGGGAAGCCTTCTCTGGGGTTAGCTAGGGACCCACAGCCAGTTCTGGAGGAGACCCTTGTTGGAAGGTGGCCAGGCTTCTGCATAAGTGCCCAGGTATCTCCACAAGTTGGGGACAGAAGCACCTGCCATATACGGTACATGAAGCCCTCTCCGTGTGTTAGATCACACAACATTCATGGAAACTGGCAAGATCCTTGAGCTGACAGGCCAGACACCTCTGTCCTGGCTGTTAACTCAGAAAACATACAAGCACTTTTTTTCTAACCACTGACACAAGCACACGGAGGGCACTAGGATTGGCAGCTCCTACTCCCAGACAGCTGCACGGCTGCTCTGATTGGAACAAAATAGTGAGGTAGTGAGTTCCCTGTCCCTGAGGGAGTTCACGCGAAGGCTGGGTGGTGGTGTTCGGTGATGGGGTTCCTGTATCTAGACAACCTCTGCATTCCCCCCACTGAGATCCTCCAGGAGACACTCCACTCAGAGCCGAGGGGAGCAGAGCAGACAGGCGGCCTTGCAGCGTAGGGTCAGGTGGGTGGGCAGACCTGTGGGGGAGCGGCCCGCCCAGCTCCCTGCCATGCTTTCCACTGCTGGCCCCTCATCATTGCCCTTCCCTGCACCCCAGCGGTGAGTGAGTTCTTCAATGCCAGCTGCGTGCCCGTGAACAACCCCAAGAACTACCCTTCCTCACTGTGTGCGCTGTGTGTTGGGGACGAGCAGGGCCGCAACAAGTGTGTGGGCAACAGCCAGGAGCGGTACTATGGCAACAGCGGCGCCTTCAGGTACTCAGGGGGCCTGGCGGTCTGGGGCTGTGTGCAGAGGCTGGGACCCTCCTGCCGACGCCTGCCCTGCCCTCTGTGTGGCAGATGCCTGGTGGAGAATGCGGGCGACGTTGCCTTCGTCAGGCACACGACCGTCTTTGACAACACAAATGGTAGGTGAAGGCCAGAGCAGGGCCAAAGGTAGGTCGGGGGGACTGTTCCCCATTCTCAGCACCATCCAGACACCATGTTGGGCTGGGGCCGAGCAGCGGCTCAGTGAGGCTGAGTCTAGAAGGCTGTGTCCCCGGGAAGCTGGGAGCCCCACGGGTCACAGGGTAAGACCAGACCTCAGACCACACATCCAGGGGTGCTGGATACATGACGGTCTTCGCTGGTCTGGAATTCAAGTCCCTAATCCACCGAAACGGTAGAAACTCAGTCCCAGTCGGTTTGGAAAGACCCCCCTTCTGGGGGTATTTACGTAGTGCCAAGGTGTGAGGTGGGGTGGCGGGAGCCTCTCCATGGGGTCATGAGTTCAATCAGTATGTGGTCTGTGTTCCTGAGCAGGTCACTGCCTCCTGCAAGGAAATCTCTCTGCAGCCCCCAAGCCCACCGAGGCAGGGCACACCTGACACACCACACAGGCAGTTTTCTTCCTGGAGTCACCTTCCTGGGCTCCACCTGGGGTAAAGAACTCAGGGACACTCTGCTCCGGGACCCCCGCACACGCATGGTCCTATCAGCACACGCCTCCCCAGCTTACGTCACTTCCCCTCTTCTTCTTCTCCGTGAAGGAATCTGAAGCCTAGAGGCTGTTTTCCTCCAACACCAAAGGCTTGTACTTTCTACATTCCCTGACTACACCCCAGGCTTTGAAACCCAAAATGCTGGAGGCCCAGTCTTCTCCACTCACTCCCAACATGTTTCTTCCTAGAGACTTAGCCCAGAAAGGCACAACTGTGGCCCGGTGGGGAGGGGACTGGACAATGGGAAGTAAGACATGCAGGGAAAAAAACCCCAAGAACATCAGTATTTCAAAACTTGGATCTTGCCTCCTATGGGGGTCACCAAGGCGGTAGGACCATTTGCCCCAGCAGAGCTAGGGAGGGCTCCAGGCCCTGAACCCTTCCCCTGCACAGCCTCCTACCAAGAACACGTGGAACCCTCCCCCAGAGAGGGGCTGTGTGCTCCTGCCTGAGCCCGGCGGGCCTGCCTGGTCCCAGACCTGTGCACGGTGTGGTCTGGGATGGGGTCGGGGAGGCTGGCAGGTGCTGGAGAGGCCTTGGAAGGTTCACTTGCAGTGAGTCACCCGCCTCCCAGGGCCGCTCCTTTCCCTTTGTCTTTAGCTCTCCTGGAGGCCCACCTGGATTTCCTGGAAATGGGAGGAGGATGGATACTAAGTGAAGGCAGAGACACGAGAATGTGATTCCTGAGAGCAGCATTTTCTCAGGCAGCCCTGGGACTGCGTGCTTTAGAATCACTGGGGTGCTGGTTTAACATGCAGATTCCCGAGCCCGATCTGAGACCTCCTGAATGAGATTCTTTGCAAGCAAGGGCCCTTGAAGCTGCCTTTTACATCCACAAGTGATGCTATGCCCTGTTCTATTTGAGAACCTCAGCCTTTAGGGGCAATCACCCACCATCTTCAGGGAGCCACCCCACCCTCAGACTTGAGGATGTAACACATAGATGGGGTTCTCTGCCTAGGAGTGATTAACAGCCTCAGTTTGCTCACCTGTAAAATGGGGACAACACCACCTGCCCTGCGTTACTGTTGTGGGGATCAAGCAACACTTGTAAAGTGCTTGTCACATAGTAGGTACTCCCTACTCCCTGCTAATGGCAGCTCCTGCTAATGGCATTAACACAGCTGGGTTCTTTCACCCCGGTAACACAGCAGAGCACTTGGAGAATGGAAAGGGTTGGGGAGCTGGCCAGATGTTGCCACCTCCCTGTAGCGAAGGCCTTGGAGGACCCAGGATAGCAGCCTGTCTTTACACTTCTCCCCACTCCCCTGAACGTCCCCACACACACTGCTTTACCCCTCTCAGGCCACAATTCCGAGCCCTGGGCTGCTGAGCTCAGGTCAGAGGACTATGAACTGCTGTGCCCCAACGGGGCCCGGGCCGAGGTGTCCCAGTTTGCAGCCTGCAACCTGGCACAGATGCCACCCCATGCCGTCATGGTCAGACCAGACACCAACATCTTCACCGTGTATGGACTGCTGGACAAGGCCCAGGTGAGCCAGGGCAGGGCTACCTCATCACCGTGTATGGACTGCTGGACAAGGCCCAGGTGAGCCAGGCAGGGCTACCTCATTGAGGGGTGTGCAGCAGAGGTAAGCTGAGCCCCTGGGAGGCCTCAGTCTACCTGGAGCAGACCTCTAGAGAAACTGAGGAAGCCTGGGGGAAATTCGGTGATTTTCACTTACGCAAGGACATACCTCCAGAAACTACCCCCCTGCCTCCTGCATTGTTGATTTTCCCTTCTCAGTTGGACCATTTTCACCAACATGAAACATGCTGTGATTTCTGCCATCCTTAAAGAACAAACTAACCTCTTGCTCTCACATCCATCCTCTTGCAGCTGTAATCCTGCTTCCTTTTTTTTTTTTGAGATGGAGTCTTGCTCTGTCGCCCAGGCTGCAGTGCAGCGGCACGATCTCGGCTCACTGCACGCTCCGCCTTCCGCGTTCACGCCATTCTCCTGCCCCAGCCTCCCGAGTAGCTGGGACTACAGGCACCTGCCGCCACGCCCGGCTAGTTTTTTTTTTTTTTTTTTTGGTATTTTTTTTTTAGTAGAGACAGGGTTTCACCATGTTAGCCAGGCTGGTCTTGATCTCCTGACCTCGTGATCCTCCTGCCTTGGCCTCCCAAAGTGCTGGGATTATAGGCGCGAGCCACCACGCCCGGCCAGTCCTGCTCCCTTTCAAAGCAAAACACTTCCAGAGAGTGGTCTGCTCTGGAGTTAACAGTCCTCTCCTCTGGCCTCTCTTAAGGATGAAGACTGAGTTAACAAGTCCTCTCCTCTCCTCTCTCTTGAGGATGGAGACTACCCCAGACAGGCTCCCACCAGGGTCCTGAAGCTGTTCTTGTCAATGTCACAGTGACCCATGTTGCTAAACCCAGTGGCCATTTCTCAGTCTTCATTTCACTTGACCTCTCAGCGGCACTGGCCACAGCTCTCCCTCCTGCAGGCACCCAGTTCCTCAGCCCTGGCTCTCCGCTCACCTCTCTGGCCACTCCTCAGTCTTCTTTGCTGATTCCTTCTCATCTCCCTGACCTGTTAGCCCTAGGATTCAGTTCTCAGCCCTCTTCCCCGTCTACAGCGGACCCTTGATCTCATCCAATCCCAAGTCATCAGATACCATCTATCTACAGATGGCTTCTGAATTTACATCTTCAGACTTCAGTCCCAAACTTGCATATTTAACTACATACTTGACATTTTGATTTGTGTTTCTAACAGTCACCTCAAACGGATCAAGTCCAAAGTTGGACCCCCGTCCCTCCTTCAATCTTCCCCACTTCAATTAAGAGCAACTTTAGCTTTTCCATTTCCTTGGGAGTCATTTTTTACTCTGGTCTTCCTCTTGTGCTCTATATCCAGTCCATCAGCAAATCCCACTGGTTGTGCTTTCAAAATACACCTAGAATTTAAACCCAGGTTGTCTGGCAATGGAGCCACTGGTTTCTAACCACTCCCCTTCCCCCAACTTATGCTGAAATTGCCTTCTGCACACCCACCAGCACCACAGAACTCCAGAGCTGGCTGGCTCGCCAGGCCTGTTCCTAAACTTTGACATTGTGAAATTATGCATGTTCCTGTCATCTCCCCCACAGAACCCCTCTATCCCAGGAGTGCCATACCCCGGGTCCTTGGGCTTCCCTAGGCTGTTGCTAAGTTCTCTGAAGTAATGTGGGAGAAGAATCCTGGGTGGATGTGCATTTTTCTGGGGAGAAGGCTGACAGCTTTCATCAGCTCTTTAGGAGGATCTGCGAGTCCCTCCAAAAAGACTGAGAGCCACCTGACTCCTTTGTTCCTCCTTGATCAGTACTTAACACCTGACATAGACATTCATGCATGTTCTCCAGATGTCCTTTATTTATATTTGTATTCATAAGTTCTCATACGACTTCTGGTCTTTTTAGTAGCTCTTTTAGGGCTGTAGCCACAGAACGGTCATTGCAGTGATCCTGAGCAGGGTGGAGGAGTGCAGCATCCCTGGGCGGGTGGGTCAGTGAAGACACGCCCAGCTCACCTGTTATTCTGTGGCTGGTTGCAGAACACACATCTCTCTCGAAATTGTTTCGGTTTGTGCGGAGACAGCTGTAAGACAGAGTGAAAAGCCTTATGGAAAAGGCCAAGAAATGCTGAGCAGGCCTAGCACAATGCTCAGGAATTGCACCCACACCATCCCTCATTTCTGGGTCTTTCTTTCCGAACATCTCAGGCCTTAGGCCTGCATCCAGGAGCTGGAGCACTGCAGTGCTTGTGAACACCTGCCTCTTCCAGTGGCGCCTGTGGGGCTAGTGTCCCCACACCCCCTTGGGTGACAGAGGCCGATCAGTTGTCACGCTTATGACTTCCAGTCAGAGTCGTGGGGCCCTGAAATTACTTGTTCTTTGGGTCACTGTTACGTAAAGCAATTTGCAGCAAGCTGCACCTGGGCGGGTGGCCCTGCCTGAGCCCAGGTGAGAAGCCCAAAGCAATTTGCAGCAAGCTGCACCTGGGCGGGTGGCCCTGCCTGAGCCCAGGTGAGAAGCAGGTCTGCTTGCGGTGCTTCCAGGACCTGTTTGGAGACGACCACAATAAGAATGGGTTCAAAATGTTCGACTCCTCCAACTATCATGGCCAAGACCTGCTTTTCAAGGATGCCACCGTCCGGGCGGTGCCTGTCGGGGAGAAAACCACCTACCGCGACTGGCTGGGGCTGGACTACGTGGCGGCGCTGGAAGGGATGCTGTCTCAGCAGTGCTCGGGCGCAGGTAGGGCAGGCCCGCCCCGCCGCCTCCCCGGTGCCGTTCAGACCCCTTTACCGCAGAACCTTGAGGGAGCGGGGCGGGGGTGCTGCCGGTCCGGGGAGGCGGGTGGAGGCCGGTTCACAGCGGTCCGGGTGGGGTGTCCCGGGAGCATTTTGGCCAGGAGGGCAGGAGCCCGGCGGGTGTCCCAGACGAAGCTGGGTAGTGAGTGTAAACGCTCAAAACGCGGCGCGGGGAGGATCTGAGGCCACGGCAGAAACATGCACGTGGTGTGTTTTTGGAAGGAATGAATATGTAAAGGCAGCAGGGAAAGGAGCGTTGCAATCGAGCAGAAAGAGGGAGGCTGGGGCGAGTTCGGTCCCCCCACGCCCACCCCAGAGTCGGGGCCTGAGGCGGCCACCGCGGCCCGGGCTTCGGGGCCTGACCTGCCGCGTTCGTCCCCAGCGGCCCCGGCGCCCGGGGCGCCCCTGCTCCCGCTGCTGCTGCCCGCCCTCGCCGCCCGCCTGCTCCCGCCCGCCCTCTGAGGCCCGGCCGCCCCGCCGGAGCCCGCGCCCTGGGAGACCCGCCGCGCCCCAGAGCTGCCGGAGCTGCGATTCCCGCCCGGGGAGTTTCCGCGGCGGCTTCGCGCTGGAATCCAGAAGGAAGCTCGGGAAGGCCGGGCCCGGCGCGGGCGGGAGCAGGCGCCTCCCCGGGAGCCCCGCCGCCCACGGGCGCCACCTGGCGCTGCCACCTGGCGCTGCTACCTGAGGCGCCGCCCCCGGGCCCGCGCGGCCCTTCCCGCCAACCGCCGCCTCCCGCCACCTGGAGCCGCGCGGGCCGCGCCGGAGGAGGCCGGTTGCCCAGGAAACCGCTGAGCCCGGGCTTCCCGCCGCCCGCCCCGCAGAGCCGCCGAGGGGCCGGCCCGCCTCCTCCGCGCAGCCCTGCGCCCCCGTCCGCGAGGCCCCCTGGGGACGCGGTGGCCACCGAGGCACCTACTTCCGGAGGCTGCAGCCAGGCGCTCCAAGGAGGCCCGGCCCCGGCGCCAACGGGACCAGCCCGTGGGACAGCGGCCTCTGCTGGCGGGGGAGGGAGGGAGGCCGAACCAGGGCGACGGGGAGAAACCCGCCGGGGACCCCTCGAGGAAGGGACCTTGTCCAGGGTGGGGGCTCCAGTTCCTCCGACCGCCCATGCGCTGGGAGGGAGGCCGGCCCCGGGGACTCTGTGCCCCGCCTCGTCCCCCACTGTGGCCGCGCCAGCTCCAGCCCGGGCCAGCCGTCCGCGGATCCCCCTCCTGAGTCTCCTCAGGCTCTCGCCTCCCGCACCCCCATGGATGCCCACCGCCCGCACCCACGCCCGAGCTGCCCCGAGCCGCCCCGAGCCTGAAGGGAGCGGGAGGCGAGCCCCCTGAAGGGCTGGGCGTGGGGACACGCCATTCCTCCGGTTCCGAACGCGGGTGGGGGGTGAGCTCCGGCTCCTCACTCGGCCCTGCACCTACTGGGCCCGGCACCGCTCACACCCCGTTCCCGCCCCTGCGCGAGGCCGCAGAAAGAGCCTGGCCAGGGCCTCTCTCTACTCCATTTTGCCAGTTGTCTGAGAAGCCAAAAAAAGTTTCTAGAACTGCCAGCCCTTAAAAAAAATGAAAAGGAAGAGAAGAAATGGGAGCAGGCAGCCCTCGTCAGCAGACTGGGAGCCGCGTGGGCCCGGAGCTATTTGCATTCCGGTCTGCGGGGGCTCGGGGATGCTGGTGACAGGCCTGGTTCCCGGTGGCTCGCCCCCACCTGTGGGCGTCGGGAAGGATTTCTTCCATCTCTCAGCGGCAGAGGAGGCCCTGGCATCGTCCTGGCTGCAGCCGGGCAATCCCAAGGAGTCCTGGTCACCGTCACCCCGCCGGGAGGGGCCACAGGACCTGGGCCTCTGCCACCAAGCTTTGTCCCCTCTTGCTGTAGGGAGCCAGTGATTCTCCTCCGACCTGATGATTGCTTGGTTTTTTTAAAGGGAGATTTGAGGGGTGAGAAGTGCGTTTCTGTGTGGCTACTCCGGGCTAGTGTGCTGTGGGTCATTGAAGGTGTGGCCTGCGTGGGTGCAGTGACATTGGATTGTCAGGTGGCAGTAGGGGAGCCCTGCTATGTCAGTGCTAATGAAAGATGTTGGTTTGTTTCTGAAATAAAGCTAAACAAGCCTGCACATGCAGAGGCTTGGACCCTGGTAGAAACTTCCCGCTGCCAATTTGTTGTTTTGTCAGGGGCTCAAAGGCCTACCTGCTCCACCCAAAATGGCAGATTCCATTCTCCAAGAGCCAGTCAGGGACCACTCTCATCCTCTAGTCAGTGAGGCTCCCAACGCCCTTCTTCCACCTGGACTGGTTCTCTGGCCCTTGCAGGGCCTGGGCTGTCCTGCCACATTCCAGCTGCCTCCACCCCATTCCAGCTGCCTCCACCGCATCAGTCTCTGGGGTGTCTGCCCTTCTGGGGGTGGGTACAGATGAGGGTGCAAACTTCTCTGCTGCCCCCTGCCCCACACCTCCAAAATAAGCTGCCCACATCTTTTCTCTGGCAAGCTCACTGCTAACTCACTGGAGGGGGAAGCGTGGGGAGCTGATCTCCAGAGACCCTCCAGTGGGTGCTCTCTGGTATGTACTGAGAGCGGGTGGGCCCGGCTGGTCTTTGTCAGTGCTCTGCTCTCCCTCTGGAAGGGGAGGTTTTCTCTGCTTCCCTCTCTCATGGCTTCACTTGGCCCCCACACCATCCCGCCTCACCGCTGTGGCCATCTCCCAGAGCCAGGTCTTGCCCACCACTGCACACAGGCCATTTTCCATGAAGTCGGCTCAATTATCACAAAGCCAGTCAATTCCTGAGGACCTGGATGGCCAGAGTTGACCCATCTTGTCTCTGCATCACATGGCCCAGTCTCAGCTGCACTGTCACCCCAGCTCGCCTCATGCTACCACTTCCCCACCCTGAACTTTTGGAAAAGGAAAGTTAACCTTTGGGCACCCTAGCTCCTCATCTGAAAAACACACAGAGTACGATCACCGGCGTGGTGAGGCGGTTGTGAAGATCGAATCTAAGACGCAAAACACTCAGCACAGTGCTTGGCAGACGGCGGGTGCAGGAAGGATGTTCACTGTCACTATTGCTGTTACTCTAGAACCTGTTTTCTTGTCTTCAATTTCAAATTCTTGGGAGAGATCATCCGATTGGCCCAGTGTGCATCAGGCTTTCAGGTGTCTATCACTGGACCAGTCAGCACAGGCCAGAAGCAGGGTCTGTTTGCTGACACATGGCCACTGAAGCCCCAGAAAAAGGAACTGAAATCCTTGTGAGTCAGGCAGCCATTCCCCAGCACCGCCATGGCTACCAGGTCTGTGGTAGGTCTATTGGCCATTGGTGGAGCAAATACTTACTGATACCTACTGTCAGTACCAGGCCGAGACCTAGGCAAGAGGGACCCTAGTCCTCAGTTTTGTGCTTTCAAGCAGTGCTTTTCAGACTTTGATGTGCACATTAATTGCCTGGGGATCTTGTTAAAATGTAGATTCTGGTTCAGAAGGCCTGGCGTGAGGCTGAGAGCCTGCAGTTCTAACCAACTCCTAGTTGGTGCCTGTGCCGGTGGTCCGGGGACCACCCTTTGAGACGCAAGCCTTCAGAGGCCTCTGCCGGAGCCCTCCCCTAGACCACACTCCACCACCCACAGAGGGAGGAATCACAGGGAAAAGGGATGCGTTCACTCAAGGGTCTTTGTTTTTTTGAAACGGAGTCTTGCTCGGTTGGTCAGGCTGGAGTGCAGTGGTACAATCTTGGCTCACTACAACCTCCGCCTTCCGGGTTCAAGTGATTCTCCTGCCTCAGCCTCTCAACTAGCTGGAACTACAGGTGCCTGCCACCACGCATGGCTACTCTTTGTATTTTTAGTAGAAATGGGGTTTCACCATGTTGGACAGGATGGTCTCGAACTCCTGACCTCGTGATCCGCCCACCTCGGCCTCCCAAAGGCCTCCCAAAGGGATTACAGGCATGAGCCACCACACCCGGCCTCAGAGCCCATTTTTCACACCATGTTCCAGATACCCTGAATCCTGGAATTCATACCCCAAACAGCCCTGAGCCAGCTTCCAGGGTTTGGAGAGCCCCTTCCCTAGATCCTACTTCCCAAGGCAGCCAAAGCCTTGGAGGTTCCAGTGAGCCATGATGGTGCCGCTGCCCTCCAGACCACACCCTGTCTCAAAAAAAAAAGATATTCCAATTTTGTGGAATAAAAACCAGCTCACTCACCTAAGATTCAGGAAACTTGAATTCTAGTTCCACTTTGGTGTTCGCCCTGGGCCGATACTTTCTCCTCTCCCCATCTCAGTTCCCAAATCCATAAACTAAGAAGTGGGTATGGTGCCTTGACGATTTCTAGCTCTAACAGTAATTCGTAGACTAAAACGCATCGGAGTCTTCACAGGGTTGTTGCCTGTGCTGAAGTGAGAGGACCCGGGTGGACTCCCTTTGTTTCTTTCTCAGCTGCCTGTGAGTTGGTGCTAACAGGCCAGAGCTGGGTTTCACAGCGGAGAGTCATATACATCAAAGGCTCTCACCTTGAGCATGTGCCAGGATCATCTGAGGGCTTATTAAAACACAGACTGTGAAGCTGGGTGCAATGGTGTGTGCCTGTCATCCCAGCTACTTGGAGGTTGAGGCAGGAGGATTGCTTAAGTCCAGGAGTTGAGGTCAGCCTGGGCAACATAGTGAGACTCCCATCTCTAAATATATATATATATTGGCCAGGCATGGTGGTTCACACCTGTAATCCCAGAACTGTGGGAGGCTGAGGTGCGAGGATTGCTTGAGCCCAGTAGTTCAAGACCAGCCTGGGTAACACAGACCCAATCTCTACCAAAAAAGAAAAGAAAAGGCTTTTAATTAGCCAGGCGTGGTGACGTGTGCCTGTGGTCCCAGCTACTCAGGAGGCTGACAGCGGAGGATCAGTTGGGCCCAGGATTTCGAGGTTGTAGTGAGCTCTGAGCTGTGATTGCGTCACTGCACCCCAGCCTGGCAGGTTCCCAGCTGGTCCAATGCTGCCGCTCACTCCACCTCACTTTGAAGAACACTGTTCAGGTCAATGTGAGCTCACACGCCATGAGTGCATTAACAGGTGCCTGCCCCAGGGGCTCCAGGGCTGGGGTGGGAAGGGCGAGTCGTTCCTCATGGAGGAGTCTGGGCCCAGCCCAGCCTGGAAGAAAAGCCAGGTCTGTGTCCATGGGCCCCGGGAGCTCCATGTGGAGAGGTGGAATGTGTGGGAAGGTGCCTCAGCGCCTTGCCCAGGTCTCCGAGCAAGCGGGCTGCAGGTGGAATGGCGTTCTGACTTCACCCTTTCCCAGCGTGTTGCTCCCCGGTCCCTCTGGCCCTGCACTCCCCACCTCATGATTCTGAGCAGGGCCCTCAGGAAGAGGAGAGAACTCAGAGGTTAGCATATGAAGGTCGTTTGTGGTCAGAATACCCGCCTTCCTCCTTCCTAGCTTCTGAGGTCCCTGGAAACCTCCAATTCCACAGAAAAACCAAATGTTATCTCTCTACTGTGGTCAGTCTTTGGGTTGTTGGAGGTTGAAGAGAAGGGCCTGGTGGTTTACCGGGCAGGGCATTCTTAGCCAGGATCCCCATCCGACGACTGTGTGGCAGACACTGCTGCTGGTCTTCTCCCCTTCTTCCTGTCTGGCAGACCCCGATTCTGTTCGGGTGGCGATGTGCCCGACTAAAAATACCCACTCCTGCGTGCCCAGGCAACTCAGTTCTGGCTGAAGAAATCTAAGAAGTTCCAGGGCGTGGGTTTCAGGGAGGCTTTTTAGGAGGAACTAACAGCTGGCACAGCCTATTGCCCCGGAGCCCTTCTCCCTCTTCCTGCCCAGAAAGTGGACAGGATTGCTGGAAAATGGAGCAAGAAGCACAAGGAAAAGGACCGCATGGTCAGGAGAGCAGAGCAAAAAGACAGAAGCATTCGGCTCAGGTGACAGCGCCCAGGCCTGGAACAGTCTAGACTCCCTGACAGCTGATTCCGGCCTTCTCTTGTTTCAGCCAGCTGCATTCTGAATTGATGTAAGTGGTAACAGTGGAAAGAGCCTGAGATGGGCCCTTGGGGCTCATAGGCTCTTGTCCTGGCTTTGTGTGGCTCAGGGAAAGTCATGGCCCCTCCGTGTGACCCGTTTCTTCATCTGTGGGATGACCTGAAGGCCTCCAGGGTCTCCTCAGGCCCTTCTGTAGCTCGGATTCAAGAACCAGAGCTGGTCCCAGCTGAAAGTTCCCGAGATGGGCATAAGTGGGGGTTTCAGGGATGGGGCAGGAAATCACCTTGCGAACAGGTGACAACTGGGGTTGGTGTCTTCTCAGTGTTCAGCCAAAAGGAAACCTTGAAGCACAGAATTCAAGGGGTCTGTCAACAGTCCAGTTGTTGGAAGCCTTTTAACACCCCAAAGGGGAATTGTTTCCAAGTATCTCCTTGATTGTGACCTTGGGATTCACATTTGTCCCTGGAAGAAGCCCCTGGGGATCGCTGCAGACCGGTTCCCGGCCCCACACGCCTTGTAAGTTAGGTGGGATGGCCGGTTGGAGCTACCTCAGAGGGAAGCCTGAGGCGCTTTTGATTGGTGGCAACCAGGTCATGAGGCAACCTCTGTGACGTGTGAGTCAGCTTAGGCCTGTGTCCTGTGGCAGAGCCCTGGTTGTGGAGGCAGAGCCATCCCCTCCAGAAGTACAAGGCCTGAGACTGGAGACGAGGAAAGAGCAGGTACCATCAGAAAAGAATGAAAGAATGGGAAATAGATGCCGGCTGCCCCAAACCGCACCATCCTCCACCCTGGCCCAGCCACAGCCCTGTCCTGGCGTGGATTCCTTAAAGCACCTGTCGGTTCTGTGGGCTTTCTAGGGAGGCGGGAGGGTGGGGGCCTATGTCTCAGAGGCAGAATGCACCAAAAGCACTTTTCAAAGGCCATCTGTGGGCAGAGGCACTAACTGGAGATTGCAACAGATGTTTTCATGATCGAGCTAGTGTGAGTCGGCTCAGGAACAGCCACGCTCCACAGAGGCAGCCCGTGAGCCTCCGTTAAAGAGGATCATTGGCCAGATTCCACCACGAAGGCTCTGGGATTCTGCCTGCTCCCTCCTTCTCTTCCTGCCCCCTTTGGAAGGCCTCCTCCAGACTCCAAGCCCAGCCGGTGATGGAATCACCGTAGCCGCA